CAACAAAAAAATATTTCCGGTTGTATGATTTTGTTGCAACGGAAAATTGAGATAATATAGAGGCCGGGGCTGGGGCCGGGGCCGGTGGTGGGGGGTAGGGGTGGGGGGTGGGGGTGTCTGTGGTCGAAGGCGGTTAGTCGTCGATGTTTCGGCCGACTTGTCGGGATTTTCTCTTTTGTTTTTCTTTTTTTTTTGGTTTTAAAAGAGAAGACGAGAGAGAGACAGAGGATCAGCGAGCGAACAACCCACCAGAATGGTCCGCAGTGGCGTACTCGGTGAGAAGTGGCGAGGCTGCTAACGCAGCATAATTGGCGTAGTCCGCATAAGGTGTATAGATCAGTCCATGTGGATCACCAGCTGATAGAAGAGATCCTGGGGGACCCGAGCCATTAAGCAAGGATGCTGCAGTGGTTGGCACCGATATCCTTGGGGATAGTATCAACGGTGCTCCCAATGGAGCACTTGGTGTTCTCATTGGTGTCGCCAAGCCAGGCAAAAGACGTTGCGTTTCCGCTGCGGCCGCAGCCACGCGTCTCCATTCCTCGTCACAGGCTGCAATGTCAAAGGCTGTACTCACTCTTTTGACCGTTACATTTTACGATAAATTCCGATCCAAAATATATATATATATATGTGTGTGTGTGTGTATTTGTATGTGTATATATATTTTCCTCATTTTCAGACGAACAAAAATTTGTTATAAATTAATTTTATAATACAGAATGTGCTAAATGTTCCAAAGTGATATTATAAAAATCAATTATTCTTTTTAGAGACCCCTTTGATTTGATTAGTTTTGTTTTATTTTTCTTTTTCAGATCATAAAATTAGAACTTTAGATCCATCCTGTATTTTCGTAAGATGTTATCGAACGAATGTAATGATTAAAATTAAAAACGTTTATACTTGCTGACATATGGTTAGTTCATTTTTACAATCATCTGAATCTCTGATTATTATAATCCTGTGTTATATAAGCCTATTCTAAATTGCTAAAAGGATCGAACAAATCTTATCAGGTTAATGGGGATGATCTAGGAAGTAAATATTATGTTTAAATTATGGTAATGTAAGAATTCAATAGATAAATAACTTTTGCAAGAGGTACCTGCAGCTGCGGCAACCTTCGTATTGGAATCTCGATAGGTACCATTTATAATGGCGAGTTCCATCAGTTGCCTCTTTTTTAGCTCGTCTTCACCGTCAGCCTGCTAACAATCGATATCATCGTTAGAATATTCCGCGTTTTTTCTAACGCTATATTAATTATTTCAATGTCAAAGGAAAAAAGAGAAAAAAGCTGGGCCGATCAAGGAAAAAAAAAGAAAAAATAAAAAAAAAGGGAGAAAAGAGAGAGAAAAGAAAAAAAGAAAAAAGAAAATTGACAAGTTGAATAAAATTGTTATATAAATAAACAAATAAATTATTATAATAATAAGATAATATGATTGGAACTGTCTCACCACGGGCACGAGAAGCTTCTTGACCTCCTCAACGGCTCGAGCAAGCTTCAAGGTCGCACGATTTTCTGTATCCTCGACAGTCAATAGAACATGCAATTCGTCTGTTAGGTGTTCCCAATTAGGTTTACCCCGATTTTGTTCCTCCTAATGAAAATCATAAAAAGTATTTAACTTATGTATCGTAATAGATCTTATACAAAATAATAATAATAATAATAATAATAATAATAATAATAATAATAATAATAATAATAATAAATAAATAAATAAATAAATAAATAATAATAAAAAATAAACATGAAGTACAGAGGGAAAAAAAAATATCCTCAAATAATGAAATGAATGAATCAACATAATCGCATAATTCAATAGCGCTTACCATTGTGTTAAAAAACTCAAATATAAATATTCTATTCGAATCGAATCGAATCAAATTGTCAATATTAATTATTATATATTTGCAAAATCGTAAAAGTTCAAATGTAAAGTATGTGACCGTGTATAGGCCGTATGAAAAATTGCAATAATCTTTTGATAAGTTGCAATAGAAAGATATATTATTATGTACATACATATACATACGTATGTATGTAAAAGATTGATACACATTATTTATGATGTTCAAACATTTACTTTTTCCGATATGGAAACTAACTTGTAATGTTACTTCGATATGAAACGTACGTGTGTATATATATATATATATATATATATATATATATATATATATATATATTCGCTAATCTTTTTTTTCTTCATTTTTTTTTTATTTTTTTTTTTTTTTTTCGTTAGACGTTTCCATTTCAAAGCACATGAATTCGTTATCGTTTGACATTATTGTGTAACGTTGACATATATATATATATTTTTTTTTTCTCTTCCTTTTAATTAAGAAATCTTTCGTTGTCAGGTTGAAGCGAAAAAAAAGAAAAAAAAGAAAAAAAAAAAAAAAAGAAAAGAAAGAAAAAAGAAAAAAAGAACGGTTAAAAAAAAAATATATACCCATCCGGGAATGAGTACAATTGTCACGAAGAAAAAGCAAAAGTAAACTAATACGAATAGTTAATATATAATTATACGAATAATAAAAAGCGGCGATCCGTATAAACGTATACATATACCATCATATAAATATGTATACTTACGACCAATAATAATTTCGCTCGTAGATCACATGCAGCTTGAAAGAAATACTTTGTTAGTTTTGAAATAATCTAAACACGCGTGCGTATTTAAATATACAAATAAAATTTATTAATGGGATCGTGAATTATTATTCTTTTCATCTAAATAAAATCAACGTTATACGGAAATAAATATTATGACAAAGTTGCATGATCAATCATCGAATATGTCGTGTATACGAGAAAGCGAACTGATATACCAAAACCAGTTGATAATATTCGTAAAGAAAATGTTGGACAAAATTTCTTGTCTCTACGCCAATGAGGGATAGATGGGTCGAGGGGTCGGGGGGGGGGGTGTTGGGGAAGGGGCGGGGGTAGTGGGAGAAGAGCAGGGGCATGACGAAAAGCAGACGCGATGAAAAACTTTCAAGCGTAATTCGTTTTTATCGTTTTTTATCGTCGAACGAAGTTTCAAACGAAGTTAAAAGAAGACTTCCAGTAAAATATGAAAGACTTCTCGCGCGAACGCGCAGGATACAAAGGATAAAATACACATACACACATGCACACACCAGAGATATACGCATGCATACACACACACACACTCACACACATTAGTATTTCGTATTAATCGCCTACGATCTCGTCAAGGCCCTAATCAGCTTATATACCAGCTACACAGAAGCTATTCCTCATTCTATTCAACGTTCTTCGTTTCTTTTACGACCATGCATATATTCATTTCCGGAAGTACGAAAGGCATTTCGAATTTCGATGAGTCAAAGAAACTCCATTGATCGAAGAAATAATATATACGTACATATGTACGTATTATATCTTATTTATTATATCTCTATAATCCACCCCACCCATCCCTCCATTTTGTCGTTAATGGATTTTCATTCTTTCTTTTCAATTTATTTTTTCCTCATTAAAATTATTATAATTGCCGTTATTAAATTTGCTCTACGAGATATTCATTATTTTATCCTTTCTTAAATTACATACGACACTACGGATTAATCCAATAATAATAATAATAATAATAATGTTTCCATCTATTTAAAAACTATTTTACAATATATATTTAAAGTGGCGAACTTCGACGTAGTGTTATAGTGCGACATCTGTCGTAAAAAATCTCTACTAAGTGATTGCAATCTCGAAAGCATTATGAATTTAGCCCGTGGAACGAAAAATAGCGGTAAAACGAGCGAAAGTGTATTACGCGTTCCGTACAATTACCAACGTTTAAGAATATTTAACTGTTATTATATTGTTAAAGAGAAAGAGAGGGAGAGAGAGAGAGAGAGAAATAAAAAGAAAAAGAAGAAACGACATAACGACATATTTATAATGTAAAATATCTATTAAATCTGATCAAAAGTTGTCTAAGATTACTAAATAAATATCTGAGACTAGAAAACATGAATATTAGATCGCAATCGGAATAAACACAGTGTCGTTGTTATACATATATTCCAATCTCTCAAACAACAAATTCCGGCCTTGAACAAATGAAGCAACTACTTGGCAATGTTTCAAGACTTTTATCGAGATATGAGTAATTCAGCTGTTGTAGGTGATGATCACTTACAAACAATTTATAACGATAACAAATAGGCGACACCATTTAAATCTATGATATTTTTAAATGATCCACCTTCTCAATAAATTTTCGATATATACATTTTTATATATATATGTGTATTATAACCTATCTCATGATAAATTTTAATTAATATCAATCCAATCAAAATTAATAATATCATTGAATTACCTTCTTTTTATCCCTCATCGAACCTTTTCCTCGTACCATTATTTTGCAACCGGTTTCCTGTTCCAATTGTTTCGCCGTCATTCCGCGAGGACCCAAAATCCTTCCAACGAAATTGAACTGTAATCAAAAAGAAGAAAAAAATCTAATAAATAAATAAATAAATAAATAAATAAATAAATAAATAAAAAAAACGAAAAAATTGCAATTAAAATAAAAATGCGTCCATTCCCTTTTTTCTTTTTTTTTTTTTTGTTATTTCGGGGTATGGAGAAAAAAAAAATAAAAAAGAAAATATGTATGTAAAGAAGAGACGACGACCGCCATTGGTGATAACTGATATACAGATAGCGCCACGAGTCACGTTTTTTTATTGGAACCAGAGAAAGTGGTAATGAGAGAAGATTGGTGAACTAATTGTAGGAGGGGAGAGAAAGAGAGAGAGAGAGAGAGAGAGAGAGAGAGAGAGAGAGAGAGAGAGAGAGAGAGAGAGAGAGAGAGAGAGAGAGAGAGAGAGAGAGAGAGAGAGAGAGAGAGAGAGAGAGAGAAAGAAAAAAAAAGAAAGATAGAGTTTTAACAAGTATCACAGATAAACCCGATTCGAAATTATATTCCTATTTAATTCGATCGATA